TCTTTAACCAATCAAAATTGTTGGTCAAGTTCTATTCTCCATTCACGCTCATGAGACAAATTGGGCTCCAATTTCTTTATATTTTTTTATGCTGCCAATCTAGGATCAATTGGGCCTCAATTTTACTCCTTTGTGGGGTTAGATTGACAGGTATTGCGTGACTTTTCGTCTAATGCTTAGATCCACAGAATACTGTAAAATACTGAAATATGACACATAAAACATCAAAGCAAATAAATCCATCCAAATAATAAATAAGTCGAAAAATATAAACGTGCGAATAAATTAAGTATATAAGAATACACTTTAAATATATTAAACATGCACATTTTTCGACCTATCAACGACTTGTGCTCAAATTCTTCGACCTGCCACTGAGGTCGAAAAGGAAAACATCGAACATAACAAGATATGATAACACTCGATAATTTTGTTAGTCATCCGAATAATAATCCAACCATGCCCATGTGCATCAGAATCTCCTCAACAATTTGCCCAAGGTATTCAAACAATTAACATTCCCCAAAAAATAATGTTGAAAGCCTCAATGCGTCCATAAATTGTGTGTCGATCAAACTCGACCACCAAATCAAGAGTTGAGAATAGTTTTGTACCTGACGGTAAAAAATACCACTCCAAATTGTCTTACCTCTCCAAAAGAGTATGATTTTTGCCTTTGAAATTGCCACCGGTGGTCGACATCATCCAGGCTCGTCCCTTCTTGTCACCCTCCTTTGATGGATCCATGCTCGTTCATTTTGTCCTCGACATTCAACAGCTCGTCCATCATAGCTCGTCAAGCCTCGGGTTATGTCATTGTTTCATCGGCAAGAATTCAGAGAGATATCATTATCCATATTATATTCAAGTTATCTATTCGCAATGCTCTACGCAATAAGAACAAGAGATCAAATACAAATATCACCATCGAGCGATGATATGCTTAAGAGATTATGAATAATCTATTTCAACAAAATTCCACATTTTCACATGAATATCCACATTTCTATGAGTCCATCGATAAATGCACCCAACACACGATGAGCATAATCACAAATATCCTCCATTCTAAACCACGACCCGCATTATTTGCGATTAAATATATCAACGAACAAATCAAATGTATCCACGATCAAATTGAATATATCCACAATCAAATCAAATAATTCCTCGATCAAATTAAGTATATATCCACGAACAAGTCAATTAATATCCACGAATAAATCATGTAATACTCCTAGCCAATCAGATAATATATCCTCGAATAAACCAATATCTCATCGAGCAAGTCAAATAAGTCCGCTTGGCCAAATCAAACAATGCACCTCAAATTAGACAAATAATCCTCACGAATATATCAAATAGCCTCCTCAGATACATCACATAATTACACAAACGAATCAAATAGTTCTCCTCGAATCCAACAACTAATTCCCCACGTCAAATAATTTCCATATCAAATATTCTCTACGAACAAATCAAATATACTCCTCAAATAGATCAAATATAGCATCCTCAAATAAATCAACTATTTGATATCCACGAATAATCAAATAGCACATCCTCGAATAAATCAAATACTCCACAAATAAATCAAATAGCACCTCCTCGAATAAATCAAATAATCATCACAAATAAATCCAATAATCGCTCGAGCAAATCAAATGATCCTCCATGCATAAATCAAATATTCTCCTCGAATAAATCAAATAATCATCACAAATAAATCCAATAATCGCTCGAGCAAATCGAATGATCCTCCATGCATAAATCAAATATTCTCCTCGAATAAATCAAATAATCATCACAAATAAATCCAATAATCGCTCGAGCAAATCAAATGATCCTCCATGCATAAATCAAATATTCTCCTCGAATAAATAAAATAATCATCACAAATAAATCCAATAATCGCTCGAGCAAATCAAATAATCCTCAAATAAGTCACACAATACCTCCGCGAGCTAATCAAATAATTCCACGATCAAACCAAATAGTATCTCCTCAAATAAATCACATAAGTTTCGCGTACAAGTCAAATAATATTCCACAAATAATCCAATGAGCTCCACGTATAAGGCAAATAGTCTCCACGGGTAAATGAAATAATACTCCAATTCCCACCAATTGTAAAATTGCTTGAGCTCATAATTTAAATTAATTCCATACCTTCATCATGAGAATTTGATCCCAAATTACCTTATCGCCCATGTCATATTGACCCAAAATAGTCTCGGGCATGAAACGGGGCTGTTGGATCGACCTGGGCCGGTTTGGACCACTCCTGGACCATTTGGACCGGTCTGGGCTTATGTTAGGCGCGCCATGTAGGCGCTAGGCCGAGCTGG